ATCCCGTTTTCTAAAACGTGGTTCCATCTAGAGAATAAGAAAATAGTCATATTTTAAAAAACTGAGAAATATGTAATTTATAATAAATATTTAAAAAACAAGCTGTAAAAGATTACATATTGATTCAAAGAAAAACTGATGACTACATACAATACAAATTAAAGATGAATAAAAACAAGTACAAATGCAGATTATGCATTTAAATGTAATCAATCGAAATGTATAAATAGCCTATATTTTGTATGAAAAACTCGACCTTCATACTAACTATTTAATAATTGCCTCTCAATTATAGTGTATTAAAGTACCTTACAATGGAAACAGGCCTACCTACTCAAGTACAAGTATTTCATAATATAAGGTGGAGTTAACTGCATTGTAACTTCCCTTCACTGTCTCCCCCGGACTTTCATTGTTTACAGGTGAGGTTTAGTATTTAAATTAATGGTAAAATAAAAACAGGTGTCCGGTTACATTCAAGGGCAAGATTTGTTTTGCTCTTGTTTTATTTGTATATCATATCATGCTGTTAAAGCTCGTTTAAAGACTAAATTCACTTTTAAAACACGTCGGTCGCTGCACCGGTGACGGAGAAAAAAAAGACAATAAAAGAGGCTCCTCCCGTCCGAGATTCTCTCTAGCTCGTAGTTATGTTAGTCCTTAACTTAAACTGGCCAATGTCATAAACAGGCATGTTATTTAGCCAGATACGTGAACATTAAATTAACGATACATGTACATAATAATCCGCTACCGGTAGGTAAACATCACATACATGGAACGGTTACGGGACATGTCCGGTTCGCTAGTCATTAGTAAAATGTTCCTGTGCAACATGTTGTTTAGTTAAAATATATCTATACATCTAATATGACAGTTTATAAGCATTGACAACATAGTTAAAGGATGATGTACTTACTTTCGTGATGTTGGGAAAAAGTGAATCTCTCGCTCGCGGCGTCCGCAGAGTAGCCCCGCCTACGGAGACGCTGATTGGTCAATTCTTGGTAGCAATACGACCGCTGATTGGCCAGAGCTCTCAATTCTTGGTAGAATCTTGGTAGCAGACGTGAACGTGATTGGCTGTCGCGCCATCCAGGCTCTGTATGCCAGAGTTCACAGTAAAATTGAGTAGTTGGGACTGTATGAAAGATGATTATGATTATCTTAGAGCAGGGGTCAGGAACCTTTTTGACTGGGAGAGCCATAAAAGCCAAATATTTCTAAATATATTTCATTGAGAGCCATATAGTATTTTTAACGTATAATAAATTAAATATGTCTTACTTTTAATGTGACTTCTGGTGCTGCATGGTTTTGCTGATGGCCTTGTAGTCTGGTTCATACGTGGTGAGGTTGAGCTTCATGCAGGCGTTGAGGCTTCCATCAGTTAAACGTGAGCGTGGGTTGGTCTTAATGTTCCTCATATGCGAGAATGACTGCTCACATGCATATGTAGAGCCAAACATGGTCAATACGGCAATACTCACACGCTGCATTGTGTGGTATGTCACAGGAAGCTCGTTCCAAGTTTTAAGAATCAGCTGGTCTTCAGGTTGAAGATTTTTCATTTCTGTCCACTTGTGTTCCCTCGCCAGCTCTGCTCGCTGTCGCGTAAGACTTTCCAACTCTCCATTAAGTGACTTGAACTTACTCATCCACATGTCTGATGCCTTCAGGTCAGCAACTTCCAGCTCAAAGTCTCCGATAGAGACCCCGGGGATGCATGTCAGGTCGATTTTGTCCACTCATGTGGATGAGTGATGAACTTGAAAAGACCAGTGCGCGCACGAAATTCTCCAAAACGTGCTTTGAATGACTGCAGGAGATTGGACGTAAAGCCAGCTAGCTGCAGGAGATCCAGATGTTGAGTGGAGTCACTTGCTAAGCATGCATCTCTAAATTGTTGCAGTCTTTCAAAGTGCAGAAGACGACCTGTTTCAATGTCCCTGAGAAAGACTTCCAGCTTGCTTTCAAATGCAAACACTGCTTGTTGAAGGGATGAGATTGTATTTCCAATACCTTGCATTTTCACATTGAGCTGGTTCAGATGGCCAGTTATGTCCACGAGATAGTGAAACTGCAGGAGCCAGTCAGTGTTGTCTAGCTCAGGATGCTTGATGCCTTTCATTTCAAGAAAAGTCCGGATTTCACTCAGGCAAGCTGCAAAACGGCTGAGCACCTTCCCCCTTGACAACCAACCTGCTGTGTAAAAGCAGACCAGGATAATGATTCCCAACTTCTTCTAACAGAGCTTTAAACTGGCGATCATTTAAAGCTCGGGCAACAATAAAGTTGACCACTCGAATGACCAGCGACATCACCTCACCAAGCTCCTGGCCACACGTCTGAGCGCAAAGCGCCTCCTGCTGCAGGATGCAATGAAAACTTAGGATGGCTCTCTTTTCATGTTCACGGAGAAGCGCTACAAATCCTTTGTTCTTCCCCAACATACAGGGTGCACCATCAGTACAGACAGAAATAAGTTTATCCATCGGTAGTTTTTTTTCTTTAGCAAACTCCATAAAAGACGTGAATAAATCCTCTCCTCTTGTTGTTCCTTTCATTGGCAAAACAGCCAAAGCTTTCCTCACGCAGTGTGTCACCTGCAGCATACCTGGCAATTATACTGCACTGAGATAGATGGCTAACGTCTGTTGACTCATCTAACGCGAGAGAAAAGTATGTCCCGGCGTTTATGTCCTTAATTTGTGTTTCCTCGACTTAATTTGCCATCATGATGCTACGATCGTGCACAGTTCTTGCTGACAGGGGCATCTCTTTTATTCGTTTGATTATCTTGTCTTTATTTGGGACGTCATCAAACAGTTCATTGGCCACATCAAGCATGAATGTTTTGGCATACTCGCCATCTGTGAATGGCTTTCCATTCCTTACTATTGCCAAAGCACCCGCAAAGCTAGCGGAATTCCCGTCACCTTGCTTGGTCCACACACGTAGTTGCTGCTGACTCGTCTGCACTCTCCTGCTGTAGCTCCTCGCATGCCCTTTTCCTGCTGTCCCCCGCTGGATATTTCGATGCAAATTAAGCATGGTGCGTATCGAAGTGCCGCTTTATATTTGACCGTTTCATCGATGCAATTTTATCATTGCATATTAGACATACCGCAGATCCTGCTCTCTCCACAAATGCAAATTCCTCTGTCCACGCAGCCTGGAATGCACGGTAATCATCGTCTTTTTTTCTTTTCGCCATCTTTTCCGTTACAAGGGTTGAAGCGGATAAATTTGATTTCTTCACCTTTACAATGACCCGGACATGCTCGCGAGCCATTGGTTCCCGACCCGACCCACGGGTGACCCGTGACCCGTGAAATGTATCTTCAAAACTAATTTCTGTTTACTTTAAAATGACACAGTATTATTAAGAAATATCACAAGTATTTTAAAATCAGTTCCAAACTGATTTTTTTTAATTTTTTAATTTCAACTAAAAATTGTCTGGGAGCCATATGCCGTCACCGGAAGAGCCATATATGGCTCGCGAGCCATAGGTTCCCGACCGCTGTCTTAGAGGGTCGCATTAGTCTCCTAGAGTCTGGGAATGTATTTCTCTGTGAAAACTGTTCCCTGGTATCAATATGTGTAAACACACCGAGCTGCACGACAGCCTAATACATGTGAGGGGGGATTTACACTGTTTCTTTTCACATAACAATAATTTACAGATTATATTAACACTCATATTAATAATAATTAATTTGGAAATGCTCCCGATTTCTGGGGTCTCAATGTTGGCAAGTATGGTCACACTGTCAGTACAGGGTATAAATATGAATTGGCTTACTATGTGCAAAAAGTAAGGGCTTTACATATTCCAATTTTAAAACGTTTCTCAAACACTCCGAAGGAACATGACATAAGTATAAATATACAACTAAATGCATAAATAAAAGTATGAATAAATACAGTAATAAATGAATAAATACGGAAATAAATAAATACAGGAATAAATAAATCAAAGATTAAATAAATGTTGAAATAAATACATGTGGAAATAAATACAGGAATAAATAAATGCATAAATAAATATGGGAATAAGTAAATGAATGTATAAATAAATAAATAAAAGTTGAGAATAAAACAGAACATACACATCTTTAAATGTACTGTTGTCACGATCTGTCTTTATGGTGTTTTGTCTTGTCTTGTTTCATGTTTTATTTTGAAAGGTCTTCACCTCCTGTCTTGCCTGTTTCTGTCTGCGTTGTGTCTTATTTGGATTTGTCTGTGGTTCCCTGTCGTTAGTTTCCCTGGTGTGTCTGATTACCCGATTGTGTTCACCTGTGTTTTCTCCTCCCTCCTCACCTGTGTCTTGTTTGTGTGACTAGTCTTGTGTGTATTTAAGTTCTGGTTTTTCTGTCTGTCTTTGTCGGTTCGTCTTTTGTCATGACTAGTTCGTTGGTGAGTGTTCTGTTTTGTCTTTGTTGTTCACCTAGCCTTGAAATAAAGGAATTCTCACTTTAATCTGCATTTGGGTCCTACCTGCTTCACACACCGTGACAACTGTATTTCTACATTTATGTTCACTTACATTTATTTGTGTGTCTGTCTGCTAATGAGGTACTGTAGGTGGTTCTAACCCCATTCTAAGGCAGGATTAGTTACAGAATTGTGATCATTTCTGCATTCAGCAGCTACAACCTTATTCACTTTTTTGTACAAACTCCACACAGATTGTTAGTGGGAACTCTCTTTGCAGTTCATTTACAGGAAATCAAAGCACACATAACCCTTAGTATCAGCAAGATCATGGTAAATCTGAAGGTCTGATTTTGGGTTTTTTGGATACACAAACTATATTTTACCCTTGTTGACATTGCAACATAGGGCATTTGTTCTGCATTCATGTGGTGTTAGTATAAAGCTGTAGGTCAGGAAAACTTCCAAGGTTCACATGAATGCACCACTGGCCTTGGTGGAGTTCTGTGCTCCCTGGGGATCGTTATATTTCATTTAGTGATGGATTTGTCTCTTACCTCTGTTGCTGAAGAGCTTTCTAGTGGTGGTCTGTGGGATGGACTGGGAAGAAAAGATAAAAACAAGAGTAAACTTTGGTCGGTCATCTCTACTGACCTGCAGCTGTTTGCACCTAGTTAGTTAGACTACTAGTTACATGCCAAATAACAATATAAAGTTAAACCTCATGTTTGCCCAGATCAGAACAAACCCGTAATCTGATAAGGACAATACTAAAACAGACCTCTGTTTATCCACGAAGTCCGCTGCTACAGGCCTGTGTATCTCTGCTCAGAGACTCTGACACTTCTGCTCCGTCTCCTCAGCCATGAACTCGCAATGTAGCGGATTTATTTTTATGCAGATAGTCGAAGACCTTAAAGTAACGCAACTAACGAGATCATTTCATGCATAGTAACTGTAATGTTATTACTGCTGAATAGACAGTAACGCGTTACACTAATGCGTTACAGACACACCTAATCTGATTACTGTAACGTGTTACTTGGTAGCGTGTCACCCCGAACACTGGTTATGACTACATGTTGTACATTTTAATATAGCGATTTAAGTGATTCTGTAATACAGCATGTAGTCTAATGATTTTCCTCTTCAGCTCTTTGCACTTGAAACACAGTCAGTTGGTGCCTGGTGGTGGGCTTCTTTCTAACTCTCAGAACTCTGTGCAACAGACTGATGGAGGACTCACGTGGCAGCGTTGCCCTTTTCCGTCAGCACCCGCAGCAGGAACGCTCCCTGCTGATTGGCCTCTTGTGTTGAGGGGATGATGATGTAGCGACCCGGGGGGAGGGTGCCTCGAAGGACCACCTCCCTGCGGCGGGAGTAGCTGGGGCTGCAGAGGACCGGGCGCTGGACACTCAGGTCCTCCGGAGACAGATACGTGTTCTTAGGGTGAGCCTGCAGAGACAGCACACTCTTATAATACGTGGATATACAAAATATAATCTAATAACTCTGGTTCCCTACTGAAAACTGGTCTCAACAGAGTGGAGACTTGAACCCTGGACCTTCACATTAACAGAACCATCCTGTTCACTGTTTTCTGCAGAGGTGGAAGAAGTATTCAGATATCAAGTATAATAAACAACACAATATTGTAAAAATATATACATGAACATATTCCTCTCCATGTAAAATCTACTATCTTACACCAGGCGCAGCTCAAGATTTTAGACATCAGGCCAGACGTTAAAACCTTTCGGTACATATGTAGCATAAGAACACGATATAACAGTTTCACACATCATTGAAAATGTATGATAATAAAAAATGTAACACAATAAAATATAGAGTGATCCCTGTCGGTAAAATAAAAGGTAGACAAAATCAATAAATACGATAAACCTGCACGATTCGAGAGCAGCCAGGCTGTGGAGGCACAGAAGGACCAGGAGCCCTGCCCTTTTGTTTTAAACAGGGCAGATGTGTGTAAATCCTTTAAAAGGGTTAACCCACACAAGGCTCCTGGACCTGATGGCATCCCTGGCCGTGTTCTCAGGGTGTGTGCAGTTCAGCTGGCAGTGGTGTTCACAGACATCTTCAACAGGTCCGTGCTGCAGTCTGTAGTCCCCACCATCGTTCCTGTCCCCAAAAGGTTTAAATCCACCAGCCTCACCGACTACCTCCCAGTGGCACTGATAAGTGGATTGATAAGCCTGCCAAAGTCAGAGGAAGTGTGTGTGTGTGTGTGTGTGTGTGTGTGTGTGTGTGTGTGTGTGTGTGTGTGTGTGTGTGTGTGTGTGTGTGTGTGTGTGTATATATATATATATATACCGGGAATATATGCAGGGCTATATTCAGTTCAACGCCCCTGCGTCTCTGGTGTTTCTGCATCAGAGCCAACACGAAGGAGCATGTTTTCTGAGTGCTGGCTGTGCTGCTGTCCACCTCCGACAGGGTGAAGTAGAACTGAGGGTTCTGCCAGAAGGAACCTAAAAAAAAAACACACACACACACATACAACAAACTTCTTTGTAATTGTTGTGCACATGAAAAAAACCGAATTGTGTGCAAATGATCCTGTGCCAAGTGATTAGTTACGATGATGGTGAAATCAGACTACACCTACTGAGTCAGTGTTGCAGTGTTGACACACGCTGTAATGGGCACCACTTTGGTTTTTATAGCTGAGAACAAATAAACCTGTCTCAACCTGATGTGTTGACAACTAATCCCAATGTAGAACAGAATATTAACATCGTACACACAGAGATCAGCAGACAGGGCATGAACAAAGAAGAAGGATGTTCCTGACATCAGAACTTTAACTAAGTTACTCAGAGGAACATTAAACTGTTTCTGAAGCAGAGTCAGTTAATACTAATGCCTTCATACATGAGCCATATAGGCAAACAAGACAATGAACAAGTTGACTGGCTATATGGCAACAAAATAAATTGTACTAGGATTTTATTTTTGTAATGTTAAATTGTTGAAAATCACATAACTGTAGCTGAATTTGCTGGGGTAGTAGCACACAAAAAGAAGAAGATGTATAAGGACATTAGAGTCAGGCGATATGATGGTATAGGAAGAAATGTATCCACCAGTAGAGATTTTAACAATGGGATTAATAATAAAAAGATTCTGCAGTTAGAAACAATTACACACTTTTACATTTAAACTTTAAATCTATTAAAAAAAAAATAACGGCCGTTACGTTAGGTCACTATACCCAAAATACGTCACTATACCCAAAAAGTAAAAAATGGAAAAAGAGAAATGTCCAACGAGGCGTTCTGGGGCAGCATAGACAGGTATTTTCTGTGTTAGAGTTTTACTTGCTACAGGGTGTACTTTGAGGGTTTGTGACTCTGCAGACCGTTTACATGCAGAACAACCTTCATAACACACAAGAGGACGGGTAATAACCGGAAAAGCATGACATGGGACCTTTAAGACAGTAGTGACGGCCATCTTGGTGACGTGTGTTGTTGTGCGAGTCTGCGAGACCAGAGATATAGTTCATTGAGTGTTTCACTGGCAAAATTATCTTTTAAATTGACAAACATCATACGTGTAATTCGTGGCACAATTCAAACGGGATCAAAAGATAATCTTTCTCTCTCCATTGACTTCAATCCATAATTTTTTCGAAATAAGGTCCCATGGAGGTCCACCGGAAGGGGAGGGACTTCGCCACTCTATGAACCTCACAGCGGGCGGATCTTGTCATAAAGTCCGCGAAAATAAAGCCCACCCATTTAGAGTGAAGATATGATTGGTCAATTGTCATTTGACATTACTCTCTCATTGAGTTACTATAGCTGGCCCTCAGTGAATGTAGAGAGGGACCAACAAGCTCTCCCGTCTTCACAGTCGCAGAGACGGCATTTAACCCTTCACATTCCAACAGAAACTGAACAGGCAGATTCGAAGGATTTATTTCTTTGGAAATGTTATTTGAAATACAATTAAATCACGTTTTTTTTGGTAAAACTAATGAAAAATGTAACAAAAAAAAGAATATAAAAAAAAATATTTAAAAAAAAATGTATCACTATAACATGATGATGATGGTGATAAAGAATGCATCTAACGTTCCGCTGTTCATACTAATACAAAACAGTGCATTAAACAAACCATCATGCTCTTACTATGAAATCATGCGGAAATGTCGTCATCAGCGGGCCATCACGTAGTTTCAGAAAATAACCGAGTGACACAAGTAGATTTTAGCCGAGACCGGCGGAAAGTTGGTCTCAAAACTCTGTGTGTGTAAAAAGACGATCCACGAGCAGAGATTTGAGATCCACTGAAAATATTTAGTGTATTTTCAGATCCGTTTTACATTTGCAAATGTATTTGTGAGTTTGCAAATCTTTTAAATGCATTTGTGGATGGTGTTTTACATTTACAAATCACATATTTACACACAAATTATTTTTATGTTCACACAAATAATTATGAGACAAATCTATGCCCATAGAAGTTCATACTGTGCACCATTTAGAACTGTTAGTATTTAGACCTCAATTTTAGCTAGTAGATACTTTTTCATGTTGTTGCTGACTGCTTGTAGTTTTTAAAACTTGTCTCACCTGAACAGGGACTTGAACCCTGGACCCTCAGATTAAAAGTCTGATGCTCTACCGACTGAGCTATCCAGGCCCTGATCACTTCTATATTGCAGTAACAAGAAGACACTGTGTAACGTTACTTTTTCTGGTCTGTTCCTCATTGTAAGTTGAATCTCCAATGTAAACTAAAGGAGAGATAGAAGACAAATAAACTTTTCAAATTAAACTGATACGTACATAATGACAGGAAGTCTGTTTTAACAAAAAACAATTGGAACAATTACCTGAACTAAAACCTTATTTCTGTAATATGTAAATGTGGTGGGGTTATTTTTTTTGTTGTGGTCAAAAATCCATATTTAAACATACGAGTCAGCTGATATGATGGATTAACTATTTGGGTTAGAGACATGTGTCTGACTGAGGAGATCTGGCAGTACCTCTACCTATGGGATGTCATGTTTGTTTGCGTGATTTTGGTGACCATCATTAAGCTTTGTCACTCATTTGGTCAGTCTTTTTAACCTTTGGTAGTCTAAAATATACATTTGAGTTTTTTTTAATATTTTTACATTTTGAGAAATTTATATTTTGAACTTTAGGGCCCCCATGCAATTGTGATGTAAGTATTTAAAATCATTTCCCAATTGAATTGACAGAACAGTTACATGATATTTACTGTTACCTTGATGTTAGTAAGAATGTGTTATTTATTATTTCGATTGGACATTATTCTTTGGTACAAACACCCAGTACAATAAAACCCAAACACTTTGCATCATCGATCACCACATGTCTTACCTTCTAGGGCAGAGCCTCCTGCTGAGATGTAAGGCACCCAGTTCCCATGATGCATTATGCTGCACCACGGCACGCTGGACCCCCGTTCATCTATAGGTTCAGTCAGGTGACACACCTCCAGCGTCTCAAAGTTCTGCTGGAAGTCCGACACCAACATCCTGAGGGAGAGGAGAAAGATCCAGGTGAGTTACACACAAGCTAAAATGTAATGGTGGCCATGAAATCTCAATACGTTGAAGAAAGAGAGAGAAAACACAGAATACAGAAACTGCAGCGAGAAGCTCACACCACAACAGAAAATATTTTCCAGGTGATGCACATGCCTGGGGCCTCCCTACAGGCCAATCACGCAGGCTGCATGGGGCCCCACCCAGAGGGCCTCAGCTGCTGTGCGCAGTTCTCCGCTCAGTTCTCCGCGCACCCCCCGCTGACACGTGAGAGGTGACAAGGGGAGCACATCTGTAACCCGACACCGTTGCAATGAATCGACATCTGACCAATCACGGCTTTGATACGGCCACTAGTGCAGGTGAAGAGATGTCGGTGAAATGACAGTTTCAGTCCGTAAGCATGTTTTGTCTTGACTATATTACAACTATATTATAATAAAATAATATAGTATTTATATTATTGAATTGATTATGATTATTATTATTAGTAGAAGTAGTTTATTTGCATTAATTATATTTTAATCTTTTTGAGGCTAGTATTTGGCAGGAAATGCAGACGTATTCAGCTGTAAACGCATACTGAACGACATACATGCACATTTACCATTTACCTCACTGTATAAAAAAGTAACTGTGTTGATAATAATAATAAACAGGAATTATATTTGCAAAGTAGCCTAATTTGTTTCCAAAAAAGATGTTTCACTCCTGTCGGTTGGGGGGGGGCCTCATCTCACAATGTCGCTTGGGTCCCCAAGTTGGCCAGGGGCGGCCCTGCCTGGGACACACTTGTTGTCGCCATGGTCTGGGGTATGCTGTTTTGCTTATAATTAGCCTGCTTAGTCACTTAACCTGATGAAATACACACATTTAACTTTGAAACAGACTAACATCAGCTGAACGTAGATACTTTTTCAACAGTCACTAAGTAACAATAAGGGTTGAATAATTCAATGGTTAAAGGTAAATAAGTTTCACTTTGACAGTTTAATTTCACAGCCAGTTTCATAGATTATTATTATTTGAATTGGTAGGCTTATGATAAGTAAAAGGTTAATGCTTAATTTCATTCATTCATTTCACCATTAAGCTCTCAGGGCCACCGTACAAATATGTGGTTTGATATTTTAAAACTTGAAGGAGACACCCCTCCAGACATACAGAACATAAATAAACCAGAAAAGTTATATTTGTTAAACTAATTCTTCATTTTTATTATATCTACTTGGACAACAGTAGTGTAGTTCACCTACAATATAACTGAAGTTCAACCGCAGTTAGAAATGTTATAACCATCTCACCTGAGCAGGGACTTGAACCCTGGCTGTACCCTCAGAATAGTAGCGCATTGGTCTATATATTTTTAGTTATGAATGATAGTGTAAACTACATGTTAGTAGCTTAATCCCCCTACTGTTGATACTATCTACATCTAGTAATTTAAAACTTGTCTCGCCTGAACAGGGACTTGAACCCTGGACCCTCAGATTAAAAGTCTGATGCTCTAGCTATCCAGGCTCAATTACTGAAATTTCGTAGTAACTTAAATAGTTCACATTACTAAATGACTTTGCTATAGTCATCAAATGTATGTATGGGGAACAGGGTCTGCACACTGAGCTATCCAGACTGTCAAAACCCTGGGAGAGTAAAGGTCAATTATTAAAGTGTCCCATCAATCTTGTAAGTGTGATTCTGGCAACATCAAATTAAATCATGCAGGTTCAGCAGACACTTTTTTCTGGTCAGTTCCTCATAGAAAGTTGAATCTCTAAGTGAAAAAAGGTGAAATAAAAACAGTTTTGTAAATAATGACATAGGGTCTGTTTGAACAAAAAGCAAGTGCCACAATAACCTGGACCAAACCTTATATGTACTCTCTTAAACAGAGGGGAATAAGCAGCATATAACGTCATGGAAAAGCCCAATTGTGTTCCTTGTTGATCTTCTTGTGGTTGGGCCTCACATGTCAGGGTGTTTTGTTTCATGTTTGCAGAAGGCGGACAGTCAGAAACAGCAGTGTGTGTTCAGAAGCACACACTCACCAGAACTCCCCGTCCTCCCGCCTCACTCTCTGCAGCCTGCTCTGCTCCTCCACGCTCACTGATTTCCACTCAGGACTGCACAGATCGATCACAAACAGAGAGGGGAGATATTTATCTATATGTACAGAATATACAGCAGTACAATATGTATTTCCAATTAGAGGTGTTGATAAATGAGGTTAAAATGTACACACGCCTGTCTGCTGCTTGGTGTCCCATGATTGTGTGAAATATATTTATTTATATTCAGATGTTTACCTTACTGTGATTTATTGTGTACATTACAAAGCATAACTTGAACTTATACCTCTGGAAGACTGAGGCAGGCAGAGAGACAAAAATGTACAGCAACTAACAATTCCATGTAGCTTAAGATGTAGGCATTCTATTAAAGAAGCGCAATTATGCTTTTTGGGGTTTTCCCTCTCCTGTAGTGTGTTATATAGGTTTTTGTGCATGTACTGTATGTGTGCTCTGGTTTCAGACAGAGGGTGAAAAGAGGTGCTGCAGCACAGGCAGTATGAGAAACATAAAGAGCTTTTTAAACATTAAAGCATGGAGACATGTCACAGTAGAGACACTAGATACTGATATACACCTGAACATCAGCAGGAGAGGACTCTTTAAAGTAGAGACACTACATACTGATATACACCTGAACACCAGCCGGAGAGGACTCTTTAAAGTAGAGACACTACATACTGATATACACCTGAACATCAGCAGGAGAGGACTCTTTAAAGTAGAGACACTACATACTGATATACACCTGAACACCAGCCGGAGAGGACTCTTTAAAGTAGAGACACTACATACTGATATACACCTGAACATCAGCAGGAGAGGACTCTTTAAAGTAGAGACACTACATACTGATATACACCTGAACATCAGCAGGAGAGGACTCTTTAAAGTAGAGACACTACATACTGATATACACCTGAACATCAGCAGGAGAGTACTCTTTAAAGTAGAGACACTACATACTGATATACACCTGAACATCAGCAGGAGAGGACTCTTTAAAGTAGAGACACTACATACTGATATACACCTGAACATCAGCAGGAGAGGACTCTTTAAAGTAGAGACACTACATACTGATATACACCTGAACATCAGCAGGAGAGGACTCTTTAAAGTAGAGACACTACATACTGATATACACCTGAACATCAGCAGGAGAGGACTCTTTAAAGTAGAGACACTACATACTGATATACACCTGAACATCAGCAGGAGAGGACTCTTTAAAGTATAGACACTATATACTGATATACACCTGAACATCAGCAGGAGAGGACTCTTTAAAGTAGAGACACTACATACTGATATACACCTGAACATCAGCAGGAGAGGACTCTTTAAAGTAGAGACACTACATACTGATATACACCTGAACATCAGCAGGAGAGGACTCTTTAAAGTAGAGACACTACATACTGATATACACCTGAACATCAGCAGGAGAGGACTCTTTAAAGTAGAGACACTACATACTGAAATACACCTGAACATCAGCAGGAGAGGACTCTTTAAAGTAGAGACACTACATACTGATATACACCTGAACATCAGCAGGAGAGGACTCTTTAAAGTAGAGACACTATATACTGATATACACCTGAACATCAGCAGGAGAGGACTCTTTAAAGTAGAGACACTACATACTGATATACACCTGAACATCAGCAGGAGAGGACTCTTTAAAGTAGAGACACTACATACTGATATACACCTGAACATGAGCAGGAGAGTACTCTTTAAAGTAGAGACACTACATACTGATATATACCTGAACATCAGCAGGAGAGGACTCTTTAAAGTAGAGACACTACATACTGATATACACCTGAACATCAGCAGCAGAATAGGGCTCCTTAAATGTTGCATGTTGACTCCTTCATTAACAAGTTTTACTTGACAGCTGTACACCTGTATGTACCAACCCTTGCATGTCACTCCAGGGCCCCTCCCACTCGGTGTTGCCCCAGGGGTTGAGGAGTCTTACTAAATCTACTGTCCCGTGTGCTGTCTGGACCTGGCAGAGGAGGAGGGAAACAGACAGAGAAAGGTGAGAGCAGTGGGAGGAACATGACGCTCCAATCACCCTCACAACTCTTTAAAGGAGCTGGACCCAGATTCAGAGCATAGCTTAAACTAGGACTGCGCATACACACACACACATACCATGTATACATCACTTCAGGGGACATTACATTGACTTACATGCATTTCCTGGAGCCTTATCCTAACCTTAATCATAACCAATGCATGCCTAACCCTAACCCTTAAAGATCAAATGCAAAGCTTCCAAATATGCTACATTTTTTATAGAAATGTTGTTTTTAAGACTGCCTGTATTTTTTATTTTATTTAAATCGAGATAATACACCCAAAAAAAAGCTTTTTATTGATCCAAAACTCGACCCAAAGCCGTCTGAATTTCTGACATGTAATTCCCAGCAGCGTGACGTAATAGTGGCCAAACAGTCTCTGGACCAAATATCCCGACTCGGCAGTCTCGGTCACATGTTTTTCGAAAAGAAAACTGAATTAACATGGGTTATTGTTGTGCTTTTTGTTGTACGAACGGTGCAGGATCTGGGAGAGTTTTACATGCATTTCCCAAAGACCAAATCATCCGCAAAAAATTCACTTTTTTAGTGAATCGTGTTGGATGGCAACCGACAAAATGGAGCAAGTTGTGTTCTGACCACTTCGCGTGTGATGCATACGACGTTGATCCTGCTATCATGAAGTCTGTTGGTGGAGAAGCATTAATAGCACGTCGGAGGCTGAAACCCGGAGCCGTCCCCTCCATATTTCAGCACAAGAAACCACTGAAAGAACGAAAGAGCCGGGCGATGCAGAAACGCCAAAGAATTGAGGTAAACAACTTTTGATTAGATTTCAAAGCGCACGGAGCACAGCAGATAACGCAGATAACGGAATTGCAGTTTTATTGCTTATAGAGGTGGGCACCGTTAGATTCTGTGTCTTTACGATCATAAACAATGTGTTTGATGTGGAGCTAGGATAAGTAATAAGGGCGCTAGGAGTGATTTCGGTGCAGTAATAGGTTAGCATTTTTCGTATCACTAGGCCACCAGGGTGGGTGGAGGGGGTCAGGAGGACGGGACTGAGCTGACCGCCCAGGAGCACAGCAGAGGACCAGGAAGGGATCTCGGACGGACGGCCCGTGGGCAAGGCAGAGTTCAAGGAGGGGTTCTCGGGCGGACGGCCCGGGGCAAGGCAGAGTTCAAGGAGGGGTTCTCGGGCGGACGGCCCGGGGGCAAGGCAGAGTTCAAAAAGGGGTATTCGGGCGGACGGGCCGGGGGCAAGGCAGAGTCCAAGGTGGGGGTTATGGAGGGGCGAAGGCCATCGCGGGCGAACTCAGGGGGCCGAGCATGAGGGCGAGGACCGCGGCCGGGAAAGTCTGGGGGCCGGGCTCGAGGGCAAAGGCCGCGGCAGGAAGAGTCAGGGGGCCGGGCTCGAGGACGAGGGCAGCGGCAGGAAGAGTCAGGGGGCCGGGATCGCGGGCGAAGACCACGGCTCACAGAGGGCCGGGATCGCGGGCGAAGACCACGGCTCACAGAGGGCCGGGATCGAGGGCGAAGACCGCGGCTCTCAGGGGGCCGGGCTCGAGGGCGAAGACCAGAGAGCTCCGGAGGCCGGGCAGGAAGGCGCTGACGGGCCAGCGCCGGAGGCCGGGCAGGACCCGGTGTCGGCCGGACAGGAACCGGAGCTGATGGGACAGGCCTCGGCAGGATCCCCCACGGAAGAGGACCAGGACACGGGATTGGCAGGACCCCCGGCGAGACAGAGGATGGCGGGGCCTCCAACGGAACAGGACAAGGGGTTGGTAGGACCCCCGGCAGGAGAGTAGTCGGCGGGGCCTCCAATGGCACAGGACAAAGGGTTGGCAGGACCCCCGGCAGGAGAGTAGACGGCGGGACCTCCAACGGGACAGGACAAAGGGTTGGCAGGACCCCCGGCAGGAGAGTAGTCGGCGGGGCCTCCAACGGCACAGGACAAAGGGTTGGCAGGACCCCCGGCAGGAGAGTAGTCGGCGGGGCCTCCAACAGCACAGGACAAAGGGTTGGCAGGACCCCCGGCAGGAGAGTAGACGGCGGGACCTCCAACGGGACAGGACAAAGGGTTGGCAGGACCCCCCGGCAGGAGAGTAGTCGGCGGGGCCTCCAACGGCACAGGACAAAGGGTTGGCAGGACCCCCGGCAGGAGAGTAGTCGGCGGGACCTCCAACGAGACAGGACAAGGAGCTGGCAGGACCCCCGGCAGGAGAGTAGACGGCGGGACCTCCAACGGGACAGACATACGATTGGTAGGACCCCCGGCAGAGGAGTAGTCGACGGGCCCTCCAACAGCACAGGACAAAGGGTTGGCAGGACCCCCGGCAGGAGAGTAGACGGCGGGACCTCCAACGAGACAGGACAAAGGGTTGGCAGGACCCCCGGCAGGAGAGTAGTCGACGGGCCCTCCAACGGGACAGGACATGGAGTTGGCAGGACCCCCAGCAGAACCTCCAACGGACCAGGACATTGGGTAGGGACTTGAGACGTGACTCGAGAGGGGACTCGAGAGGGGACTCGAGAGGGGAACTAGAGAGGAGAACTAAGGGGGAACTCGAGAGGGGACTCGAGAGGGGACTCGAGAGGGGAACTAGAGAGGGGACTCGAGAGGGGACTAGAGGAGAGAGGAGGGACTAAAGGAGGGACTAGAGGAGGGACTAGAGGAGGGACTAGAGGAGGGACTAGAGGAGGAACTAGAGGAGGGAACTCGAGAGGGGACTCGCGAGGGGAACTAGAGCAGGGACTAAAGGAGGGACTAGAGAGGGGACTAAAGGAGGGACTAAAGGAGGGAACTCGAGAGGGAACTGGAGAGGGAACTCGAGAGGGAACTGGAGAGGGGACTCGAGAGGGGACTCGGGTAGGAACTTGAGAGGTGACTAGAGAGGGGACTCGAGAAGGGACTCGAGAGGGGACCTGAGAGGGAATTGGAGAGGGAACTGGAGAGGGGACTCGGGGAGCTGGTGTTGGCTGGAGAGCCAACAGGAGACAAGGTGCTGGAGTCGGCCGGTACGCTGACAAGACTCGGGGAGCTGGCGTCGTCTGGGGAGCCAGCAGGAGACGAGGTGCTGGAGTCGGCCGGTACGCCGACAAGACTCGGGGAGCTGGCGTCGGCTGGGGAGCCAGCAGGAGACGAGGTGCTGGAGTCGGGACCATGACTGTATGGGCCAGCTCTGGTGCAGGGACCCACGGTTGTAAGATCCAGTTCTGGAGCCGGAAACATGGCTGTAAGGTCCGGAGCTGAAGCCTGGATCATGGCTGTGTGGGCCGGTTTTGGAGCCGGAAACATGGCTGCTGGGGCCGGCACTGGAGCCGGAACCATGGCTGCTGGGCAAGGAACCGGAACACGGATCCATGGCTGTGTGGGGTGGTACTGGAGCACGGTACCATGGCTATGGATGGTACTGGAGCACGGAACCATGGCTGCTGGGTCCGGCACTGGAGCCGGAACTGGCGCTGGAACCCTGGCCTTTCGTCCTTTAGAGGCTTCGTGGACCTCCAAACGCCAGACCAGACCCCAGGAAAGGGTCAGAACATGAAGCCTGGTACTCAGGGCTACGTGAGAAAACCCTAAGCCACTCGGGCAACAAGCTCCAGAGCCAGGGCTTGCGAGCAACCTCCTGACGTGCCTCCTTCAACGCAGCCTCTCTACCCCGTCTAGATGAGGCGCCTTTCCACGTATAAAAAATATACTCCAGAGAGTATCCAAGACTTTCCGCCTGTCGCATCAAAAGGGCTGAATCTGCTGGGTCCATAATGTGGTCGGTTCGTACTGTCACGGTGTGTGAAGCAGATTAAAGTGAAAGTTCCTTTATTTCAAGGCTAGGTGATAACACAGACAGAACAGAACAAAGACAAAACAGAACACTCACCGACGAACTAGTCATGACAAAAGACGAACCGACAAAGACAGACAGAAAAACCAGAACTTAAATACACACAAGACTAGTCACACAAACAAGACACAGGTGAGGAGGGAACACAATTGGGTAATCAGACACACCAGGGAAACTAACGACAGGGAACCACAGACAAATCCAAACAAGACACAACGCAGACAGAAACAGGCAAGACAGGAGATGAAGACCTTACAAAATAAAACATGAAACAAGACAAGACAAAACACCATAAAGACAGATCGTGACACACACAGGGAGTGTGACTTCACTCTCTGCTCAGGGCGCCATTACTACACTAAATATAGTGTTTTATAGAGAGTATAATAAGAGTTTTTAAGACCTGAATGATTGTAGCAACAATTATTATTGATGGTTATACTATTTAACGTAGAGTTAAGATGATCTAAATGTTCTCATCTTCTCTTACCCTCTCTACTGCAGTCAGAGAGTAGGCATGTCTGAACATGATGCCTAGTTCATTCTTCTGCTCCAAAGGACCCTGCAGAGAAACACACATCCACCCACAGGAGAACAAGGCATTACACTCAGTGACTCGCATACAGTAAACCTTCAATAGAAACATGTTGCGCTGCCAGTAGATACTCAACAAAAAGTAATGCATTACACATGACTAGTTACTTTTTTTTTTAAAAACTACTACTAATTTACTCACTGCTGAAAGTAATTAGTTACACTACAATTTACATTCATTTAGGACTACTCTGTAACATCATCTGAGATGCACCATAAATCACATGACAAATAACAGTATAAAGTTAACCCTAATTTAAGCCCGGATCAGCACAAATCCTAAATCTGATAAGGACAACACTGAACACAGACCTCTGTTTCTGCTCTCTGTTTGAACATCAGCCTTAACATAACTTCACAGAAAAATGTCTGTCATACACCAACATAACTTAAAATAAGTTTTCCTTTCAACCATCGAGCGCAAACATGAATTTGTTCAAAATAACATCAATAAATAAAATAAGAGTTTGGCCCGCATCAGAATATCAGATGTACAATGTCATTAACAGAGCAAACAGACTCACTTAGCTCACACTGCCAAACTATGGCTTTACACTAGATGTATCCCTCTTACTGGTCATGCTTATCAAATAAGTGGTTAAACCCTTTATTTATAGAGTCTATGGTTATATGGTTATACCTCATGAGGAGGAGTCTCTCAAATAGTTAGTCTGACAACCTGTAACTCCTCGGGTCCAACACAAGACGGCGCAGGCTGAAGAGACTCTCAACTGGTGCCCTACAGCAGGGGTTCACAACCTTTATTGTGCCAAGGACCGGCAGATACATTAAAAGAAATTCACGGACCGGTTGTCAATTTTAACTGATTTTAATATTTACTCATCTGCAGGTGGCAACAGAGGAAAATTGTATGTAACAGCCTGAACAAATAATAGAACAATATGCATCCAAAACATATTAACAAAGTTTAAAACCAGGATACAATTAAAACAAATTAGGACCACTGTACACATATTGATACAACTGAAATGTCAGTGAGACCCCTGGGCTTGTTTGCTAGCCATAATAACGTCATACCGGGGCGTTCGTTCCGGTGCACAGCATTTAGCACTACATCGAGATTAAGATTAAACTAACTTATTTTTGGAACACCCACATACCTATGGAGTTGGCCAGATGTGTCTAAATTACTGTTCATGGTAATTTGAAAACAAATGCCGTTGTTGGACACACACAAACACACCGAACATACACACACACAGCGGAGCTGAGCAGAGCACATATACACACACATCATGCGCCTTTGTGACCGGACATTTCCTTCATACAACGAGTAATAGGGGGAATAATCGGGCCGTTCGATGTGTGTGTGTGTGTGTGTGTGTGTGTGTGTGTGTGTGGTGTGTGTGTGTGTGTGTGTGTGTGTGTGTGTGTGTGTGTGTGTGGTGTGTGTGTGTGTGTGTGTGTGTGTTGGTGTGTGTGTGTGTGTGTGTGTGTGTGTGTGGTGTGTGTGGTTGAAACGTAGCAGCCTGCAGTGGGGAACACAGTGAAAGCGGTGTGTACGCGCTGGTGCTGCACTTCTCAGAGGCTGCCTCCATTTCATGAAGTGAAGGAGGTTTTACAAATAAAAAAAATAGCTCTACACCCCTGGCCGCAATGTCCTTAAAATGAAGTCCGAGTTCGAAATATATCTCAAATAATGTATGCACTGCCATTTCCCCACATAAACATAACAGTCTGCGATGAAACGGTTGTCTCCTGTGTGCTCCACTTCCTATTGGCGCACCGGTAACTTTCTCTGCGCACGAGAGACCTTATGCTAATCAATTTTGATTTATTTTGTATGTTTGGGATGAAATAATATGACTGGTATAGGTACAAAAATAAAAAATAAATAGAATTTGTTTTGATAATTTTTTTTAATATATTTATAATTCTGCAAATATTACGATAAACTCACAGCTATTTCGCGGCCCGGCAGTAACACCTCCGCGGACCGGTACCTACAGGGTGTCGATGTATCAAATCTAACTGCTATAGTATACATTTGGGGTTCTGCTGTTTTCCTCATCTTTGAACCTTTGCGCTTAGTAACCTCCCGTCATGTCAGACGAGTGAAGTGCTAGCACGCATGAAAAGGGACGTTTGATTTGTTTTTCTGTCCTCCCATTATGCAGACAGTTGAGGACCTTAAAGTAATGCAAGTAACAAGATCGTTTCGTGCTTAGTAACTGTAATGTGATTACTGCCGTGTTACATTACTGTGGTATAGACAAATGTAATGTGATTACAGTAACGTCTTACTCTGTAGTGGGTTCCCCCCAACACTGGTCTGACAGATTAAACTAGCCCCCACGGTCTCGTACCTGGCAGTTGGCGCAGTTGATGAGCGCTCCTTTAGCCAGCAGCTGGCTGAGGAAGGCCAGGGGGTCTCTGGTCAGATGGGAAGCGGTCAAAGTCTCAGTCACCCCCCCCGTCATGTCCACCATTGCCTCATGAGGGAAGCCCATGTCCAGAGCTCTGTAGCCCCCTTTCACCCTGGGACACACACAGGTCAGACAGGCTACTGGACAAACAACGTCTGAATCAGCATTAAACAGGTCTTGCAAGAATGTGTTTCCTAAGAAAACCTGCCAATACATGAACACATAAATGAGTAAATCTGTTCCATCATTGAAGAATTACTTTTGAGTATGTATGATGTATGGTGGTGTATATAAGGTCTGTAGTCATTTTAGAGAGGAACAGTATTTAGAGATGTAAGGAGATGTCACATGTTTAAACCTGCTTACTCTACAGCCCTGGAGAAGAGACCTGATGAACATCTGATTTTTGTGACTACTAGGCTTAGTTTTGGCAATTCTAATATAACTGATCACTTTTTAATTGTGAAACCTGAAAGTCAAAATCATTAATTAATGTGAAAAGTTGAAAGACAGGAAAGTGATCCAAGTGCTGAGTCAGACAGTAGCTACAGTTCTGCTGGTTGATAACGTTTAGGAAAATGTTAAGGCATTTAAGAGACAGATCAACAGGGAGATAATTAGAAGGTTTTCAATTACAGACAGGTGAAAGGGCCGTATAAAATAAATGTTCCACACCATTTGCATTTCTTAGACGTCTTTGCTGTTTTTCTGTTGGGGAACAAGCAAGTGTGTGCAGGTAATATCAAGTCAGCAGCAAAGTATCTGTGCAAAGAGTGGTCAGGATAGCCCTGAAGATAATGCTAGCTGAAGTTGGACCATATTTAATGTCGACTTGCAGAAATTCATCTTTAAAAATATCCTTATTGGTGATCTAACTGGTACCTGTTAGATGGACCTTTAATCATTTTAAATAACTATGTGACTCCTCCTATTTGCTTATGCAATTAATTACACTCTTGGAGGGAATGGGATAGAGCAACAAAATGCTACACAAACTGGCTTTTGTGAATGAACACAATTTAGGAAACGTGTAAAATGCAGATTACAATAAAGCTCTGCCCTACAGGCTGCAGTGAGCAAAACTATTGAGCCAAACAGACAGCATGCTGATGGATACGCTTCATAACGTTGATTCTGAGGGGCGACCACTGAGACGTGTCATTAGCTGTATTTACCATGTGAGACGTTTTGCAGAGTAGATTTTAATATGACTTGATTACAACTTAATATCTGGCCTGTCGTGGTGCCATAGCAGCCTTTATCACATCTTTACGTAATAAAAAAAGTGTCTTCAAATTCACATCTGAAAATGCTTCACAATCCAAGGGGTGTTATTAGCCTCACTTTTCAATGAAGTAAGGGTTGATCATATTTAGCAGATTAAACCCCCCCCCCCACACACACACTGGTTGCAGGGACTCACTTGGCGTAGGCCTTCTCCAGCAGGGAGCTCCAGAACTCGTGTCTCTCTGGAGAGCTGAGGTAGATCAGACTGTTGTCCTGAGTGGGCAACCGGTCGTCTACCTTCACCTCCTCCCACTGACCGTACTGCCAGAACTGAACAGGGGGGGGGTATTTAGTCTTGTCAGTGCACCGTGTGTAACTCACATATATAAATACAAAATGTTAGGTTGAACTTAATGTTATTACTTTCTACTAACTTAATACAGTTATGTGAAATGTGTTGATATTGTTTTCAGTGTAGCCTGCATACATCAACCTTTTCAGGTCCATTTGAAATCTAATTTGTCAGTTTATTTTTGTCATTGTCTTTGATTATTTTAAACTGTTTCACAATCTAACTGTAGGTAAACATTGTTCTTGAGAGTAGGAGTTCTTCAGTCCTGCACTGACAGCAGGGTGCCAGGTTAATGTTTGTGATTACCTTGAAGGTGAAGCAGCCGCTGTATCCTTCTTGGAAGCTCTGTTCTAGAGGCATGACCTTTTTGAGCAGGGAGCGGTGCACGGAGAGAGAGGCGATGGCAGAAAGTAACCAGCAGTCATCTGAGGACAGGGGGTCAGAGGAGGTCAGGTTGTCAACAAAGATTGTCTGAACCTGTTCATAAGCCCTGTGGATCCTCCTTATAAAGTTGTCTCTTTAGCTTTCTGCTTCCCATAATCCATTGTGCACTGGCAAACCTTTGAAATAACGTAGGTACAACACTCAACTAAATGAATCAAATATATTTCTAGTCTTTTACATTTCAATGACGAAATGTTATAATACTTTTAAATCTATTGCAACGTAATTGTCATGTCACAAATGTAATGCAACAAAACATAATATCCAGTATCCTGGTTTGATAATACACCAATGGTGTATTTGTATAATGCTTCCTGCAGCAGACTCACAACTTTCTGTATTTCTTTCTTATTCTATTTCTGTTATGACAAGAGCATTTCACTACAGGGGTGAATAAAGGTCTTATCTTATCTTATATCAAATGAACCCACCTTAATTAACAAAAATACGAATGAATACAGAATTATAACTGTTTTAATGGGCTAGGGCTAGGGTTAGGGTTTCCCTTGTGTTATGGGAAAGCCTTCCCTCATGCGTTGTGTGCTCTGGATGAAGTCTCCTGTGTGTTCCCCTGCAGCTCTACTCACTGAGTTTTCCCTGGCGGAAGTCCAGGTGCGTCGCTCCGTTAACAATGAACTGCGGAGACGCACAGAGCTCCTGCAGACCGACAGGTGATTGGTTGATCATTAAGAGGAGAGAGAGGAAACGAAAGAGAAGAGATTAGAGTGGGTGGAGAGGGACACAGACAAATTATGCAAATAAAACAGGACCTAGCGTGTCAGAACAGCACCACAGTTAGCAGCAGATTATGTGTCAGAGCAATGAGGCAGAAACCTGGCCCACTACCTGACCTCTGGAGAAACTCAGCAGAGTCAGGGCTGAAAGTTTATGATTATTCCAAATGCTGAACGATTTGAACTTTTCAACCCATAAACAACCCATACAACAAAGGGTCCATCTAATAATGCCACATTACCCATCAATATACATATCTATATACAGATTCAATGCATTTTTATTTATATAAGCACCGCCGTGTGTTTTATGAGACCAGCACTTAGAGAAATCCCTCAAACTGATGCTCAGAAAGTTGTTCACTGGTTCCCCTGCAGAGTGAAACCTTCAAAGTATTCCCCATTTATTATTTATTTATCTTACCAGCCTCCAAAATACTTCAGGTTCAAAAAAGCTGCCAAAACTGCCTATTACCGAATACAAGTCCATGAACTGTCATTTAAGTCATTCAGACCAAGAAATGCCCTTAGCATTTTCTTTGTTAAAAGCTTTTTTTAAAAGTTGAACAGCAGCAGCAAGAGACCTAGAAAAAGGTTCATTATTGTTGATATTCTCATTACTATTCCAGTTCAGCAGGATTGGCATGAACTGTTCCTGGAGAAGAGTGGTGCTGTCTAACAAAAACTTACAACACCATATTTAACATTCCCGCCAGATAGTTATAAAGTGTCTTTAAGGTTCACTTTATGTTGGGTAATCCGATTACTGCTACTACTGCTGTGTCCTGGTTTTAACTGGAGTGTGTGTTGGTGAAAAGTGGCATTAAACGAGCTTGTTGAATAATAATAATACATTACGTTTATAAAGCCAAGGACACCATTACACAACCTTCTTTATAAACGGTAAAACATGTATTTGTTTGTGTCTTTGTTGTCTTTTTGTTGAGAATTCTTCGAGAGGCATCAGTCCCTTTACCTTCATACTGGGACAACTACCTGAACACACTGCAGGTTACACAAACGTATGTGTTAGTGCAGTTATTTGATTGAATCCCCACTGTACACCAGTCCACAGTATTGTACTGCATTTCTTTCAGTTATAAATATATCATATCTTATTCCTAAACTTTAACTTCTTCTTATTGTGATATTTTTAACCAAGATGCTTTTATTTTTAAATCCAATTTTATATTGGAGAAAGAGACCCAAACTTCCCAACTGCAATGTCGGGTTGTGTGTATGACACATTTAGACAAATAGCCAGGACCACATACACATTTCATTTTCTTAAATAAAATAAAATAATTTCCTACCCGAAAAAAGAAATAGCAAACTTTATTTGTTTCAAAATGATATTTGGTTTACACTATATTCATCACACAAGTGTCTGTGTGATGGTATGGTAGCACCTGAAGGCAGAGCTCGGATCTTGGATAATGTTTTATAATAAAATAATTTAAATTCATTCTTTGTAAAAGAAAAAAGGATTGTGGTTCCTGTTTGTACACCATGATCGTCTCCCTTGAAGATCCCCCAAAGGTGTCAAGTATAAGGTTTAAGATCAGATTATACTTTGTATTATCTTTGAGCAAACACCTGTTTGTAAAGCTGTTCCTGCTGGTCTGCGCTCCTCTCTCAACAGGAAGAAGATGACACCATTCACTGACCTCTGTCTCGTGAAACCAAACATACTTCCATAATATTATTATGTTATCATCTGCATACAACGTGTCTTCTTTGTGAGCATTCACATTTCATGTTTCATTGTCTGGAGGAAATTATGTTTGGAAATGTGAGAGAATATGAGGTGAAGGGGTTTCATAACTACAGCATGAGAGTTTTCAAAGCCTGTATGTTGTAATTGTTTTGTTTTGACACATCTTACTAGTTATTACTGATAGATTGCATCATCATACTGTCATGTAACGCATTCTTGTTGTTTGGTCCCCTCTCAGCAACAACAATACCTACTTTATGAAATGTTAACACAATAATAGACATTTTGAAAACACTGTCAACATTTTGCCACTGTTCCTAGAACTAAAAATAGTTCAGTGTCCTAAAAACTGCTTCCTACAATTCATATTGACAACATGTATGATCACCACTACACAGGAGTTGATGTAGCGATAGGAACCTATTATATGTCATATTTACTCAACAAAGCTCCTGTGCAAACAGGTCACATATTTACTGAATACATTTCCTGTTATTACAACCGCAGGTTTTATCTTATCCGACAAGCCCTCCTTTGTTAAAAAAGAAGACTCTCTTAAATGCTTTGAAGTGTGACAGGAGAAAGCTGTTGCAAATGCTGGAACAGCAACTTTTTATTGCACGATAGTTAAAGGTCCCATGTCATGGCCATTTCCACCGATCATAATTCCATTGTTGAGGTCTACTAGAATATATTTATATTGTGCAATGTTCCAAACTCACATTGGTTTCTCAAACAGCATCTCTGTAAACTACGTGTATTCACTGAATTTCACTCTCTGCCTTTAACGGCTCGTTGTAGCTCCAATAGCTCCAGCCCCCACCCTCCCTGTGAGCACAGTGTGCTCTGATTGATCGGGACGTTGTAAATCGCGCTGAGCTCCGTGGAGGTGTTGTTTCCTTGTTTAGCGATACACAGCGAAACACAGCCAAAGCACACCCTGAGCACACACAAAGTCACAGCCGAAGTAAAAAATAAGTGTGGCTTGATATTGAGTAAGAAAAAGGTTGATAAACGCTGAGAGAACGGGTCTGCAGAGAGAATTTTGCCGCGATCCCAACTGTCTGTTATCAGCCTGCAGCCAGGGAGGAGAGATCAGCAGAGCTGCCTGCACTGAGTGTGTGTGAGGAAGTCCGTGGATTGGTCAATTTGGACCAATCAGCAGGGGCTTAATGTAACGGCTCCACGGACATAACGTAACGGCTCCACGGATTGGTCCATTTGGTTCCGGGTAACGCATGACCGTATCGCGTCATAGCTCTGGGCGCGGCTACTGGCTACGTCACAATACCCAGGAAGTAAACAATGGACAATGACGTATCTTCAACGAGGCGTGTTGGGGAGGTATTTTCTGTGTTAGAGTTTTACTCGCTACAGGGTGTACTTTGAGGGTTTTGACTCTGCAGACCATTTACATGCATAAAAACCTTCATAACACACAAGGGGACGGGTAATAACCGGAAAAGCATGACATGGGAACTTTAAAGGGCATGCAAGGATTTATACTTCCTGATTTACAAACAAGCATGTTTGTATCAGCTGTAAAATGCATGGTCAGAAAGCTGAACACTGAGAAACCCAGGATAAGTCAACTCTTTAGGCATGTGGTTCAAACAGGACAGCAGCACTACAAACAGAAGATGATCTGATAGAATATGATAAATTGCTGCAGATTAAACTACTGAATAATATAAATTCAAATGAGCCCAACCTTAAACATCTACAGCAGTAACATGCAACATACAAACTAATAAGCAGTACTGTTTATACAGAAACAACAACGGCCGCTGGCAACCGGCTGGGTTCGCTGACGGCCGGACGTACTGTGATTCTCCAGAACACACAGATGGCCAGTCCGCCCCTGTGTAGCATATTATTTTCGATGACAGATGAGCAGATCGCCACTGCGCTTTCAACTAATGACACAGCCATGCAAAAACTGCGGCATGTTCAGCTGCTTATGGGTACTGCAATGTGTGAAGTGCGCTACACCCCTGGTCGTTTCACCATGGAGGAAAGCAGCAGAGAGTCGACTGGAGTTAAAGAGAGCGGGCCAAGAAGTTATCCTTCTGCGCTGCGTACATGGCTTCCTTCTGCAGGTAACGGGGAGACGCGCTCTGCCGGCGGTCTCATTCCGGATCCGAAAATACAATTTAAATATTTTGCACACTTATTCCTAGTGTGCCACTGGTTACGGCCCCGTGTGCCAATGGTGGCAGCCGTGCCAGGGGTTGCCGACCCCTGCTGTAGAATAACCTCCTGTTTTCTCTCGTCTTTTTTCTATTCAACTTAATATGAATAACATGAAAATACAGGTGAACTGAGGGTTCAGTGTCTTCTTCAAGGACACTTCAACATGGAGGAGGCGGGAATCATACAGCAAACCTGTGATTAAGGGAAGACCTTCTCCACCCCTGAGCCGCAGCAGGCCCAATAAAAGTGAGTCAGACTGATCTGTGTGTGACTCACTGACAGTAAATGTGATTTTATGAGTCTGTTATATAACTTTTTAGTATCGAAAACTTCATGTAAAACCCCATGACTCTCTCAATATTTGAATTCAGGAGTCAATATTTAATATGCGGCAATTCCTTAAAAAGTGTGTCTATAATCAGGGGTGCACATAACTTTTTTGCCCTGGTTCTCAAAGGAGCACCCGGAGTTGTTGCTTGGTGCTCATCCTTAAAATGAAAGAAACCGTAACTTTTGAGGGGTCTTGACTTTATTTGCCAGACACACGGCACTGAACACACATGCAGAGGTGAACACAGAACACACACACAGAGGTGAACACAGAACACACATGCAGAGGTGAACACAGAACACACATGCAGTGGTGAACACAGAACACACATGCAGTGGTGAACACAAGACAACATTAGCACGACCAGTAATCCTACAAGCTGTCATCACTACCCTCCTGACTGTTCTCCTCACTGTCTCCTCTCTGTCAGACATG